CATCCAATTTCAGGATCATCCGCGATATAAATTGTAAAACTACAATTTTAATTGTCAGAAAGTGTTCTGTATTTGCAAATTACAAGGTGTAATCATTAGTTAGGAATTGAAATGTGTATAATTTTCTTTAATTCAGCCGGCATTATAGCTATACTTTTTCATTTGGTATAGAAGTGTGACGAAATAAGCATTTACTCATTGATTATATTATTTAACGTATAAATGAATTCGTAATGGGGGATCACTTGAGTGCGACTAATAAGTATTAAATAATATGATCGATGAGTTCATGCTTATTTGTCACTTCAATGATTCGCCATATCTCTATGCCAATCATAACCTTATTATCAGTATATAGCAGTAAAATTGTTATGGGCTATGATTAACATAATTCGGCCCGGTATTGTAAAAATTTTTTTGTGCATTAATAAACTGCTGTGTAATTATAAACCGCATTAAATAATATAAACTTGAATAATTTTAAGAATTATTACTATAAACTGTTGACTTATTATTAGTTGTAGAATTCTTTGAAGCTACGGCAGATTAAGTAGGGGTATGATTTGGAAGATTGAGTATGTTAAGGCAGGTAATTCGCGAGATCGTTTGTATATATTTGCCTATGATAGAATATTAAGTTTATCCAAGTATGGTATTAATTTTTTTTGAAATTTTCAAAATTACAAATATAGGATGTTTTATAGAATAGGTGGGCAAACTTCGCAACTCTGCTAAATATCTATTAATGATTATTAATCATTAGCGGAGTTTATTTTTATATTGCCCACCTATTCTATAGAACATCCAAGTAATTTGAATATTGTTATACAGTACATACAATAACAAAATTACACAATGTAAGTATCTTTTTATTATTATTATTATTATTATTATTATTATTTTTTTTAACAATTCAGCAGTCTTGCCTCTACTTTATTAGGCTTTATAATATTATACTGTGAAATGTTAAAATTTTTGAAGGGTATAAACCCTAATGCCACCTAAATTACAAGTATTAGCTCACCTGGCTCTTTGTAACCAGAGTCCAAATTATCCATGTGTGACCTGCTATAGGCAGATTCCTCTCCAAAATATTCTCTTCTGCATTTGAAAAGAATAGATTTTCACCAAAAGGTTTCACTAACTCATCAAGACTACATATCCTTCCTTCTAAACTTTTTCCACCTAGATCTGGGCAGAATAGTTTATCTCTTACTTTTTCATAAAGGAAGAAAAAATATGCCACATCTATGAAAGAAAACAAAACTATCTAGAAAAAGAAAGAGAAAAACAAAAAAAAAAAAAAAAACATTTAACTGAAAAAAAAAAGGGGACCTAAATATAGTTCCATCATAATAGGACAAAGTTGAAAAGAGCAGAAAAAAAACATAGAAGTCCTGATAAACCACCTTAAAAAAAAACAAACAAAAGAAACAAAAAGAAAACAATACACTATTATAACCCATGCCAGATATAAAGGTAAAAATTATATACTAATTGCAACTAATTAATATATCTCAGCTATAAAGCTTCGCTTTAACATTGGGACTCGTTTTGGACATGTTACCAGGGTCGGGTATCTCCTAAATGAGATTATCAATCTCATCTCTGTACTATAGCACTGTAATAATAAACAAAACAAACACGTAGTTGCATTCTACTGAGTTCAACTGAATTAAGTAAGTGTAAACAATACTGATCTTTTGGAGGGGATAAGCTGAAATGTTAAAATTTTTAGTAAAGTCAGCAGGATATGAAAGAAAGAAAAAAAAACACTTGAAACCACTAAAAGAGCATAGGTTTTCTTTTACTAAAATCAACTATCCACCTGAGCCTACACAGTATTAAGTTTTTTTGGTAAGTAATAAACTTTAAACTTGTCAGCAAGTAGTGTATGAGAACTACTTCTAAACAACAAGTGCAGTGTCTGCAGTCAGTAAGTGATAAACTCTGAGGCTGTTGGCAGATAGCATATAAAAACTATCTCTAAATAATAGCTGCTGACTTACAGTCCCTTTTTCCATGTCTTACGTGAGAGTTATTGACTTTACTCTAGTATACTGTTTTTTTTCTAGTAAAAAGTTTTTTGGAAATTGTGGTCCAAATGATTATCAAAAAGAGTTGAATGTCTTTTTTTTTATTATAATGTTATATAATTTGTAATAAAGATATTTATTTTGCTAATTTTGTATACTAAAGTTACTGTAATTTTTTTGAAGCAGTTATTATAGAAGTTCTTGATATTTAATACTTTATATTATAATTTATATTTTTATATAACATTCTTTATTACAATATTCTTGTATCTTTATTTATTTTGAATTTATATAGTACAATATCTTTTTTTTTTCACAACTCTTTCTGATGATTATTTGAACCACAATTTTCCAAAAACTTTTTACTAAGAAAAAATACAGTACACTAGTATAAACCTTGTAAAGTTTAAACATAAGACATGAGAAAAGAGACCCTAAGTCAGCAGCTATTATTTAGAAGTAGTTCTTATATGCTACCTTGCTAATAGCTTCAGAGTTTATCACTTATTGCAAGCATGGCACTTGTCATTTAGAAGTAGTTTTCATACATTACTTGCCAACAAGCCCAGAGTTTATCACTCACCGAAAAGACTAAGTTTCAGTATGAATGTTGATTTTAGTAAAAAAAAAAAAATCTACACTCTTTTAAGTGGTTTTAAGTACTTTTCTCTCCCTCTCTCATATTTTGCCGGCCTTACTAAAATTTTTGACAAAAGTGGGCATTCTAGCTTACCCCCTTCAAAAGATCAGCATTTGTTTATTTTTCTTTTTTGGACGGGCTCAGTAGGGCACAACACAGGATTGGAAAATTGATATGTTTTTGTTTTAATAGTGACTCTATACCACATAACGTATAATCAGTGCTTCAGTTAAAAATTTCAGTCAAATATTGAAATTATAAGTCAGAATAAATTTTAATGATAAGGCTTAGCTTTACATTAGAGATATACAAAATTTTGTTTTAGTATATAATAATAGTGTTATCATAGATTTCTTTCTTTTCTGCCTTTTTTTTCTTCTTTCATTTGTTTTTTGTTATTTATTTTCTTTTGCTTTGACACTTTTTACTTTTCCCTCTTTTGTTTTTCCTTTTTTTGTTTTAGTGTTAGTATTTTTTTTCATAAGTCAGTTGGAGACTATGAATCCTTCTGCTTGGGAAGCTAGAAGAAGAAGGTTAGAAAAGGAGGCGATCTTGATAGGCCAAAAATCCATTCAAGGAAGTATCAAAACATCTAGTTACAGGGTGGTTGATATGGAGATAAACTTTACTATAGCAGATCAAACATGGGCAATTTGGACACCTTTGGTGTTACAAAGAGTCAGGTTAGCGAACACTTGAAGAAATTATGTAGAATTTGGTCAATAAATTATACTCCCCCGTGAACTGTATATTATACTAATAAAGTGTTGGCAAGATTGCCGAATTTTTTTTTTTTAAAAAAAAAAAAATACAATATCTTTTACCCAAATCTTTGAAAAATTTACAGTATTTGCTTTATCTTTAAGTTTACTGTCTGAAATATTTTAATTGAAATTGGGTGTTTTGCTTGTTGCTTACTAAATTGCTAGAATAAATACTATTCTAAAATTTAAGTTTCGATGTTCGGAAAAAGCTCCGGGTTTCGTATTAGATTCCAAGACCGTTTCGTTAAAAGTGATCAATTAAGACCAATTATAACGATAAAACTCCTCGTACGTATAAAGAGAATGAACCTAAAATACAAGGCCGAGGCGGATAAATCTTTTAAGCTCTGAAATAAAATTGACTAATCAACTAAGTTCGCTAAGCCGATAAAATTTGTCAGTTTAGATTAGTTCTTTATACTTACACACTAAATGATCGCAAATAAGATGAAATTAAATCGTAAATCTTCAGTAGCATAAATAGCTCATTTTGAAAACTCAAATTATTAGTAGTTGAAATAGGTGTTGGAAATTCTTTAGGTGATCGTGGAAAGGTAATGGTTGTGGTATAGTTGTAGAAGTTGTAAGTGTAGGGGTTGTAATTGTAGTCATAGCCGCTAATATTCAATGTGAGAGACCAATATGAGATTGGTTCCAATATGAGGTCAATTAGTATTTAAAGTCCGCCAATGATTAGTAACCATAAAAAATACTAATTGACCTCACGTCGGAACCATAGTCCCTCAATGATCACACTAATTTATGTTCTAAATATCGATATTGTGAAGTTAAAATTTGCAATTGAAAAGAGGCTTATATTTAATTCATCAATAATATAATTATAAACATATTTTAACTGAAAATAATTCATATTTTCTAGACGCTTAATAATTTATTTCTTAGATTAGTATTTCTTTATGAACCACGCCATGTTTATTTAAAATTTTCGTTTAGATAAAAGATTTTGAACGCCTACCTAATTATAATAAATACAATATAAATATGTATATATTTATCTGTTATTTGTAACTTGACCTTATTTATTATAATAATAGCAATAGGAACAAAATTACAAAAAAAAAATTTTTTATGAAATAGCGTTACCGGGTACGAACCACAAAATTTTTACTAATTAAATACAGTTCTTTTCAAAAAGGTAGAGTGCCTATTATAAATACATTCTTCTTATGATGTAACCTCTGGGTGAGTACTAGACCCCGGGTTTACTAAATGATTTAAAAATTGGTGGACCCGGGTCGTAAAATTATAATTTATAGCAAGCAACATTTAAAATTACACCAATCGAAATAAACGTTCAATGATATTTATTATAACACCATAAATTTGACTGAATAAATATTCTTACATTAATTCTGATTGTTTTAAAACCTAAGCAATATTTTTTTAAAAAAAAATTTCAAGTAACCACCGATTAAATTAGAAATCAAAATATGAATATAAATCAAATGTTTCGCTTGATTTTTTTTTTTTTTTTCAAAAAAGAAAACTAAACTTGATTTATAATTTAAACCAAACCAACAAATATATAAACTTAATATTTTATACGATTTCATCTCTTTTTAAAGAAGTATAGCCTCCAGCCCTTGATTTTACATCATCATCACATGGTTCAATAAAAGAGGTATCAAAAATTTCATACCAATCGACGTTTTGTAACTTTCCACGGTTTCCCTCCGACCAAAAACCCAGGCAATTATTCCAACATCCAAAATTAAATGGGTTTACGATATCATCGTGCCTTTCAAATACTCTACGAATTCTTGAAAAATGATTATGTTTATGATGATGGTTACATTTGCTTCCGCATTCACTCTGTTGATGAGTGACATCTGTACTATTAATAACTTCATTCACTCCAGCAGCTCCATTACTTCCTACGCTAGGAGATTTGTTCGTAAAATATGAATAACGATGGAAGTTCATAACCTCATTTGTAGTTTTTGCCGAAGAAATCTGGTAAACTTGGAAACATAATAATATTATTAACCAAGGAAGTTGTACCGCACTCCAGGCACATAAGGAAGCAGTCCATGCATCATATTGGAAGAATCCACAGTAGGTATCACTCAACAAACACGGCTCGGACTCAATTGGCGCGTATGGAGGTGCGGATATTACAAAGTCTGTTAAATAGGATTGGATTGATAAATATAATATTTAAATATGATTCGTAGTTTGTAATTTCTGCAAAGCAAAGAAATAGGATTGTAAAAATTATATACATGTATAGCTGATATATTCAAAACTTAAAATCGATATGATCATCAACGGTAGAAACACCATAAAAATACGGTGACTTTTTATTCCAATGCAATTGTAAATCCATGGGCAATGACTATTAACGTGAAAAAAATAAAAATAAAAATAAAATATGAATATAAAAGATTAGGAAATTATATAAATGCCCAATAGATAATTAACTATTTAAAAATAATAGTAATAATACGTACTGATCAAAACGGGCTATACATCTATTACACACTTTGCAGTGCTTGGATCTAAGAGGTTTTTTGATCTAAAACAAATTGAAAAAAAATTCAAGTATATAATATAATTTTGATTGAATACAAACAAACTGAAGCTTACCATGCATGTTGTACATAAATGTCTTGCATCCAGCATCCCTTTATTTGCAAGGTCTATTACCAACTAAGCTAGCGATAAATTAAAAATTAGATAGTGAAATTTAAATTAATTAATAATATCTAAAAATTTCACATAAAAATACCCGTTTCTGTTCTTCACGTGATTGTGGTTTTGGAATATAGCCCGGATCGCCCATTACCACGACATAAAATGAATACATTGATATGACATATGTTGTAACAAAAATTATATTTGCCGAATATAAAAATGAGGTTGCTAATTTCGAATGCGATTTAAAAAAATGGAAAATGTGTGAATGTGAATGAGAATGCAATTTAAAAAAAAAGCAAAGAGATATGTAATAGTCTTCAAAAATACCAAATAAAAGTTTATAAATCCATGTGACGCCAACCCAGAAAGCGCTTGCTTGAAATATACTTGATAGATAAGGTGTTCTCATAAATTCGATACTTAGTTGTGCTCTAATAAAAACCTTCGTAACTATAATGTGACATATTATATATTCCAAAATAGCCAAAGGTAATCCAATAAACCAAGGATAATGAGCTAACGTTTGAAGAGCAATATAAAGCAAGAAAAACGGAATCACGTATAATATAATGAGGGTAATTTTCTATTTAATAAAATATGATAAATTGAAATAATGATATTTAATAAAAATTACAATGTAACGTTAAAATATATAATATAATACCTTTTCAAATAAGAACGTACTCCTTGTTCCATCATTTTTAAGTCCAGTTTCTCTCATTGCTTTTTCCCATTTATTTGTAGCCTTCACTTCTTTGACTATATCAAAGGGAGTTTTCCCATTATCATCCTTAGCATTTACATTTGCACCAGCTTCTATTAACTTTCTTAAACACATTTTATCAGACTTCATTGCAGCAAAATGTAGAGGTGTATATTGCGTATTATTAACTTTGGATAGAGACGCTCCTAATCGAATTAGTATATCTACAGTTAATGCATCACATTGATAAGCAGCCCACATCAAGGGTGTATGTTGTGAAGAGTCTTGGGTATCAACGGCCATATCCAAAAATATGAAGTATAACACCAACATAGGATTAGAAGAATGTACGGCAAGGTGTAAACAATCAAAACCTTGAGAATCTCGAAGACTTGGATTGGCACCATGGTTAATTAAAAGAGTTACAGAAGGCAAATGACCATTCCTAAATCATAATAGATTAAATCGATTATGGATACACACATACAGTAAGATTCAGACAGAAAAGCATTCACAACGTACCTCGATGCCCAATGTAACGGAGTAGCAATCAAGTCACCACCAAAAGCATCTATTTCAGCACCATTGTCGATCAAATATTTTGCAACGGACACATGATTACTAATGGCCGCAAAATGTAATGGAGTCACATTATTACTATCTCTGTCAGTTGCTTTAGCGTAACCACTTTCGATCATATCTTTTACTATATGAAGAAATCCTTGTCGACAAGCTTGATGAATTGTCATTTCTAATTAAAAGTAGATAAAAATTGAATAATAACATCATTATATTATTTCTATTTCTACTTAACGAATACTTTTTTTTAATTAATATCAACATGAAACTATTATGAAACAATATGTAAAATTTAAAAACTTTAAATATTGTTATTTTAGATAAAGAAAATACCTGAAAAGTTAATATCATCGCCAACTTTTGAGTTCATGTTTTCAACAGGCTGTTTCACCTCCGTTATGTCAGATTCATTTGTACTTTCAAAAACATCTTTCTTAATAGGCTCTGACTCAGCACTCGTAGATGACATCGCACAAGAATAAAGTTAAAAATTTTCAGCACTCGAAAGGGCTTATCGATGCATTAACTATCATTGTTCTTAAAAATTGTAAAACGTAGTACGAATGGAAACGTTGTACATTTTGGTAATACAATCCCCTGTCTATCGTGACCTTGTTAACCATGCTGATCCGCGAATACCAAGGTATTAATAGTATTGTACGTACATACAATTTGTCACGTGAAACGTAAATGGTACGTAGTGTTTTCACGTATTACTGTATAGTGATCGAGGGAATTAATCTAATTACCGTATTTATAAGCCACCGATCAGTTTTTTCAGGGCTGCGGCCTCATATTAGATATTAATTGTGATGCCTAATATGCATCACAAGAATGCTTTAGCCTATAATATTAAATCAGACCTTTTATCGTGTAATTTTCAGCATATACGTATTAACATTTAAAAAAATACAATTTTAGTATTGGTTAATTTAGAACATAGCGTTAAATATACTTTATATATACAATGAATGTTATTTACTATTATTATTTTAAGTGTTTTAGGGAAACGATAACGGTTACGTATCACCTAAAAAGAGAACGATTTTACTAACAAATCAAAGTATACTAAACAAATAAATATTAGTGCGCTTTAAATTTTCCGTGCATATAAATAATTAAATAATGCAACAAGTCTATTTCGGCAAATAGTACTCCCGGTCCCTTATATTCATAGGCCTTAAAACCCTTAAAAATTAAATAATTGACGGTGGACGGGTACTCTAACAAGAGAGTAATGTTTTCCGAAAACTTTGAATTAATTATGAATTTAATTCCTTACATTTGTATGCGTACGTACTTAGAATAGGTACAGCACATACATAATGATCAAAGCCATCCAATGAATGCCTTGCGTTTCGTTTTGTGCTATCTAATAATTTAATAGCTAAACATACTGCACATTATATAATTTTTTGCAGATTTCTCCAAGAGATATAAAGAAATTTTGTTTTTTTTATAATTGCAAATTATGTATTATCAAGGTTTTATGAATTCTAACCAACATAACGACATTCATTAGTATAATTCTACAAATATATTCAGTTATAAACAATTACATGGGCTTAGCAACGAAACTGTATATATGTTAATAAAGTATTGATAAATGTTTATAAATTCTTTATAACAAAAATATAACAATATTCAATCTTGTTATACAAATAAATAATTCGAAAATAATAATAATAATAATAGTAATAGTAATAATAATAATGATAATAATATAATATAATTTCACATCATTTTGTACAAATATATAAAAATACAAAAAAGGGATTTTTTTTTCTATCCAAATATAGTGAATTTAAAAAATGCAAATATTGAAAATGTGGAGTAAAATTGAAATATATATATGGATAAAGAGGTGATGAAAAATTTTATCATCCATCAATATTAACATCCATATATATGTATTTTTTTTAAAAAATGTTTTTTATCATATAATTGTTCATTTAAATATTTCTACTATATTGGCAAAAAAAAAAATTTGAATCAAACTATAAACCAAACGGTCAAATAAATCAAAAAAATTTTTTTTCTTGCAAAGAAATATTAGTTCATAAAGGTGTTCATAAAGATGTTTCTAATCTTAGATAAAAGACTTGCAACGAAAATATTGCAAAGAATTATTAAACATAATAGAGGTTCATATTTTTACAAATTACAAATATTAGAAAAATAAATAATCGGGTGGTGACATTCATTATATACAATTAGGAGTCGAACTACTTGAGGTACTTGCTCTGTGAAGTGACTTAGATCGGTAGATAAAAGGTTTCATAAACGGATGAAGAAAAGATCCTAATAAAACAAATAGAAAGAGTAAGTATTTGTTTAAATTTTCAAATATATACAGTCAACTCTCCTTATAACATTATAAATTACCCACACTTAATAGTCTAATTTCTTAATAATTCTGTTATATCGATGCTCGTTATAACAAGAGTTGACCGTGAAAAATAGTAACTTCTTAAAAGCACATAAACTTGCTTTTTCTGGCCATTAGTTCTTCCATTCGGCTCTCAAGATGTCGTCGTGCTTTCTCGGCACTTTCTTTAGCCTTTCGTTCTTCTTCTAACACTGCTTCGATAACCTTTTTCTCTTGATAAACTGAAGTCCTAGTATTTTCAAATTGAACTGTTGTTTCATCTAATTGTGAATGTAATTCTTTGATCTGATTAAGAAGTTCCGATTTTTCTTTTTGTAATATTTGTAACTGTTGTTTAGCCACTCGAAGATTAATATCTTTTTCTGAAACTGAACTTTCTAATGATTCAATTTGTTGACGGTTTCGTACATTCTCTCCTTCAATCTTGGCAATCCTTTTATGTAATTTTTGAACCTCTATGCCAAGATCTGTCGATGGAATTCCTTCTGATACACTAGTTCGTAACCGTGATGTACTTCCAAAAGGCGGTGTAGATGGACTAGATGATTGAGATGATTGAGGTGATATCGGTGGTGGTGGTGGCAATGGTGAATTTGGTGGTGGTGTAGGTGGTGGTGATCTAAGATTTGAGGCGATAATTAAATTCGGTCGGATTCTTTTAACTAAATCTGATGATGCTGAAGATATTGACAATCGATGGCGATCAACACTCTCATAATCTGAAACACAAATAGAAGGTCGACGACATAATGTTTCCTCTTGTAATTTACGTTCAAGGTCTGTTATCTTTTCTTGGAATACTTTAATAAGATTATTTTGTTGTGAAATTGTACTTTCTTGATGTTTTAATTTATCTTTAATTGAGCTATCTGCACTGAGATGTGACTGAGGTAAAACACATTCTGGTTCGAAGAATATTTCACTACTTTTTGATGACGATGATTTTTGTGTAACTTCCTTTTCAAGCTGTTCGTTAATTTTTATTAAATTCTTAATCTCTTTTTCCATCTCTAAAGCTTCAGATGCTGTTTTTTGTTTAAGATCATCATGTTCCTTTTCAAGCGAAATCAATTTAGTGTTTAATTCTACCAGTTGAGCGACTTCCTTATTTCCTCGATCTGAAGTTTGCAACTGTTTCAATAAAGAATCAATTCTTTGATCAAGTTTTTTACGTTCTTCAAAGAAAACTTTATTTGCTTGTTCCAAGCCTTCTTTTTCTGCTTCAAGTTCTGCAATCTTTTCTTCTAATGATTCCATTGATATTTGATTTGAGACACTATGTAAATGTTCAAGTTCATTTCTTAAAGTTTTTAGGCATTCATTCAAAGAATTTACTTTCTCTTCGGTTGTGCTAACTTTTGCGTTAAGTCTATCATTGATTTGTCGTAAATTATCATTTTCGATCATCAATTTTTCAATTGCAAGATTTGAAGAATCGACCTTTTCAAGTTCACTAACAGTTTTAGCATATTCCGCTGATAAATTATCAAAGTCTTTTTGAAGATTTCCAATTTGCTGCGTGATATTCTTGTTGTCAGTGTGTTGTACTTTCTTATCTGATTCAAGTTGTTGAATAATCTTTTCTAATTCTTGAACTCGGTTACTATGAGTTTCAATTTCACTATGAGCTTGCTTGAGTTGGGTGGTAAGATTTTCTATTGTTAAATTATTTACACCATTATTGAAATTATACATAACTTCTATTTTTGCTTCATCGAATGCATTCTGTAATCGTTTACATTGTTCTTTAAGAATTTCTATTTCTGCATTGGCCTCTTGAAGTCTGGAACTCTCTACACTGTGATTAGACTCTGCTGCTTGTAATTTGGATTCTAAACCTTTAATAAGTTCTTGTTTTTGAACATCTGAACTTTTGACTTGTTCCAACTCGTAATTAATCTCTTGCATAGTTCCCTGTAATTTATCTAAAGTATCTTGTTTTCCTTTCAAAGCTACTTTTAATTCTTGAATCAAATCTGTTTGAGTACTTTCGATATGTCTTTTTTCATCCAATTCTGCGGTCATCATAGCAATTGAACCAATACTCGCGGCCACATTAATGGAACTTTGACCTTTGACATTGGCTAATTTGGATTCTAATTCTTTTACAAGTTGAGCTTGTTTTTCAGCAAATGCTTTGGTAGCGGCCATCTCTTCTAACGAAGGAGTTGATTGTAATTTAGCTTCTAATTCAGCAAGTGAACTTTGAAGCTTTTTAACATTTTCTGATTCAGTAGTAACTTGTAATTTAGCAGTTTCAAGGTCCACTTTACTTTCTTGTATTTGTGATTCCAATTGTGTTATATGTTCATCTTTAATTGAAAGCATTTGGTCTTTAGCTTTTAGGTCACAATCAACTTGTTTTAATTTTACTTCAAGTTGAACAGCAAATTGAGCACGTTCTTCCTCCGATGATTTTGTATCACTAAGTAAAGAACTTATAGTAGCAAGTTCACTTCCAAGATTAGAAATAGTTGTTTGATCATTTTGAGAAGAATTTTTGGCTTTAATCAATTCTGTTTGTAGATTAGTTATTGAAGATTGCAATTCGGAAATCTCATTTTTATGTTCAATTTCTATTGATTCGAATATTTTCGTTTGTTCTTTAACATATTCGACTTGTTTATCACGTTCTTTCTCGACCTCTAATAACTTAGTTTTAAGATCTGCTATAAGATCATTTTGAACATCCATCTCGATTTTAGCACTAACAAGTTCTTCTTTAAGAGATTTTATGTTGTTATTACCGGTTATATCAACATTCTTTATTTCTTGAAGTTCCACTTCTAATTCTTTTATCTTTTTTTGTTCGTTATCTCGTTTTTGTAACGCATCAGTTAATAAAGTTTTCAATTCAATAATTTCTTTTGAATAAGCAACGTTTTTATCATTTGTTTGTAATAATTCTTCTTTTAGGATCTTCAATTCTTTTTCCAGGGAAATAACCTGTCCATTCTTCGTGTCATATTCCTTTTTCAAATTTTCTAATTCTAAAATTAGAACATCTTTGGATTTTATTGTATCATTTAATTGGGATTGTAATTGTTCGATAGTAGATTTTTGTTCGGATTCAAATTCCTTTAAAAATTTAATTTCATTCTTTAAAACTCGTAAATCTTCACATTCTTTTTGTGAGATTTCAAGTTTACTTTCTAATTCTTCGATAGTATTTTTAAGATTAGATTCAATATCTTTTAATTCCAAGATTTCTTTTTTTATATCATCGGTTTTGGAATCTTGTTTAATAAGCTTTAATCGACTTTCAAGAGTATCAATTTTTTTACGTTGTATCATATCTTGTGATCGCAAATTCTCGACTTCTTTATTCAATATCTTTATCTGTTGTGAATCAACGTTTGAACCAACTGATGATAACATCTTACTTAATTGAAATTCATGTGATTGAATCTGATCTTGTTGATCGACTGTTCGAGATTTTATAATATCAATTTTAGCTCGTAAAGTTGAAAATTCAAGTTCGGATTTCTCTAATTTAGATTCAAGATCTAAAATTGTTCGTTTATATGATGCTTCAGATTCTCTGGCTATAATCAATTCGGTTCTTAATCTTATTATATCATCATCAATAGATACATTTTTTGATGATAATTGGCTTTCTAATAAGATTATTCTTTCTCTTTGAGCTATTTCAATATTACGTAAACGTTGTAATTCTTCGTGAAATTTTGTTTCTTTGGCATCCAAAATTCTAATCTTTTCTAATGCAGAAGCTTCACTATCCTTTACAATTTGAAGTTCTTTTCTAACATTTTCAATTTCCGAATGTAATAATTGATCGGCTCCAATATTTTCAACCTTTTTTAGTTGTAATTGAAGATCTTTCATTCGATTTTGAGTTTCTTCTTGTCGACTTTTAACTTCTGAAAGTTGTAATTTTAATGTTACTGCTTCGTATTCTTTCTCTCGAAGTTTTTGTTGTAAAATACCTTTATCTACAAAATCTCGTTTTAATATTTCTATAAGTTCATATTTACGTTTAATGTCCAATTTTAATGTCTCAAGTTGTGTTCTTAATGCTACAACCAAACTCTTTTCACTTTGTAAATTTTGAATGGTATCAGATTTGCTAGCCAATTCTTCTTGTAAAGTAACTAATTTTTCCTCAAGCACTTCTATTGATTTTTGTGTAGGATCAACAATGTTTAAAGTATCAAGGATTGGAACGTGTCGAGCTTCTTTAGCATTAATTAATTGTGCCTCGAGATCTCTAATTTTTTCTTCAAGTAATTCCATATTTTCGTCAACATTTTGTTCCAGCTTATCAGATGATGTTTCATCCGAAGATTTTATTGAAACTGTTAGATTATGGTTTTTACGATCCACAACAGATTCGGATATTTTGAATAATTTATTACTTTTTTCCTCTAAAGCATGACGATGAACTTGTTTTGCTTCATCTAATTGTTCTTCGAGCTCTTTAATTCTTATGTGGTTTTCACTGTTTGGAAGTAATAAGGCAGCAATAGCATGATTCTTTGCCTCAATTTCAATTTGTAATTTGTCGACTTGCTTACGAAGAGCTATCATTTCAGCAGCAACTTCTTTGGAAATTTGGAGTGAACGAACACATTCTCCTGATTGAGATTTCTCATTTTCGAATTGCAATCGTAATTCTTTAGCCTTGAAAAGTTGTTCTTCCAAATCTTTTATGTTATTTTGTAACGTTTCAATACTTTTATCAAATTCTATACCGTTAATATCATTTTTCTTTTCAAGAGTAACTTGTAATGTATCACGAAGTTCTTGTATGTTTAATTCAATTTTTATTATTTCATAATCATTTATGTGATAGTCTTTTTCACGTTCAGCAACTAGATCTAATGCTTTTCTTTGTTCATTTCTAAGATTCTTAACTTCTTCACGAAGTCGATTTACAACTTCAAGTTCATCAAGTTCTGTGGTAGAATGAGGACGATCTGATTTTACCATAGACATAACTTCCACTTGTGCTAAAGCATCACGTCTTTTAATATCATTACGAAGTTCTTCGACAATTTCCAGGTTCGCGCGGTGACTCATTTCAAGACGTGCAAATTCTTGTCTAACGGAATCCAATCCCGTTGTTTTGTCATTATGTAGAGACTCGAGTTGTCTAAGTTCCATTTGTAATCTTTGTACAGTGGCAAGATGTAAACGATCATTTTGTATACGATCATTTTTTTCACCACCTCCCATTGAATAAGAACGAGTTTTTCGAGGAACATTTTTTTCAGATGTAGTAAACGGGTTAAAATGATCTTTATCCAATTCATTAAAATGCATGGATGGTGGTAAAGACTGTCGTGCTGTGACCGGAGATCCCATAGGTCCCATGACACTAGAAGGTGACATCGGAGTTAAAGGAGTTGAAGAAATGGATTTAAAATCATCCATCATTTCTGCATCAATCAACCTTGCTTCAGTAAGTTGAGTTTGTAATTCATGTATTTCATCTAGACATGCTTGATATTTTGCTTTAATTTTAGTAAACTCTATAACAGTCTTTTCATGAGTTTGTTGTAACTCGGATAATTTTATTTCAAGACTAGCAACGATTAAACGATCTTGTTCATCCTTTAAGGATAAAGCACCAGGTGCAATAGAAGATAATAATAATTTTTCTTCATCTGATGCTGAAGAAAAACCTATTATTATTCCTTGATTATTTGATTCCACTTCTTGAAATTTAATATTTTTAAATTTAAATAGTTCAGATGAAAGTTCTTCAGCTTTTTGTTCAAGTAAAGCTATTCTACGATCACGATCGTTCAATTCATTTAATAATAATGTCTTATCTGGATCAGATTCTGCTTTATCAAACCTTTCCATCAATTCAGAATAAGTGTTTTCCTTTTCTTTCAACTTATTTTCAAGCCTTTCAACCGTCTGATTAATTTCAATGAGCTGTTTTTCACTTTCCTCTAGACGTGCTTCAAGATCTTGTATGTAACCTTCGCTATTCACACTAGTTGATTTTAATTGAGAAATCTTATTTTTTAATTCATTTATTATCATTTGATCATTATTATGTTCTTCAGAATGATTTAAAAGTTTTGATTCGAGATCTTTAATATAATTTTCATTGGTTGATTCACGCTCAGAAAGTGAAGCAATATTGTTCCTTAAATCATTAATTAAATTTTTATATTGATCATTAATTTGTTCAGCTTGTTCTAATCTGGTATCTTGATCTTGTATCATTGTTTCAGTATGATTTAGTGCGGCACGTGTCAGAGCTAGTTGACTTTCTAGAGAAGATATTAATTTTTCATATTCTTCGATAACAGGTTCAACAGCATCTTGAAAACTATCAGATGCACGTTTAATTATATTATTATTTCTTTCAAAAGAAGTATTATTATTATCAAAATTTTCATCTGAATTGTCCTGATGCATTGCAAGTTCAGCAGAAGTTTTTGCATACTTTTGAGATAGTTCAGAATAAGAACGTTGTAAATGAATGAGTTGTTCTTCAAGCATTTCAAGTTCCGAATTACTTTTACCATCAACATCGGTTACTATTGTAACAGGCATTGGTTGAGTAGGTATCGATTGATTGTCAGGAAAAGTTTCGGGAGTATTAGAAGTATTAGGAGTATTAGGAGTATTAGAAGTATTAGGAGTATTAGAAGTATTAGATGGAATTGGAGTATTCCTTCCTGAACTATTAGAACTACTGCTTCTACCACTATTAGTACCATTTGTAGAACTAGCTGCGCTTGATGCTTTTAAAGCTTTTATCTCACTTCTTAATTTTAAAACTAAAGATTGTAAATGTTCTAAATCATTCCAACCACTTTCTTCCTGATTTATTGATATAGAATTTTTAATATTACGTGCTCTATTTGCATATTTTAAAGTATTTATTGTCTCATTTAAATTCGATTCAGAAGAAGATACGCATGCAATCATTAATGTCTTAGCGTTACCACCAAGAGAATCCTGTAATAAACGAGTAAGTTTTGAATCTCTATATGGAACATGAGTTACGTGTTTAGCTTTATTTGGATCACCAAGCGCAGATATCACATTTCCCAAAGCTAGCAAACCACCATTAATTGATATGCCTTCTTTTGCACGTTCACCGACGGCAGATGTTCTTTTTAGCTATGAATACAAATAAAGCAAATAAAGTTAAAATAATATAAAACATGAAAAATATAAGATAATAAAAATGTTAAATATTATATATACTACTAGTACCGTATAATGAATATATAGTGTACTTACTCTCTCACTACCAGCTAAATCAACAAAATGAAATTTACTCGTTACTGTAATCCAATCACCTTCATCAAATCTTCGACTCATTCTTAAATTCAAATTTGATGATGATCGAGCTAGTTTTGAAGAATCATATAATCTTGAAGGAGTTGCGGGTCTAGGCGGAGTTGAAGTTGTTTGCATCGAAGATCCTACATATTTTTGTTGTGCCATGATGACCGAAAATATTGCGTGAGACCGAGAAGATTTAGAATTCATTTCTGTAGCACCAACTTGTCTATTCATGGAACCACGAGCTAAATGACTAATATAAATTCATTAAACATTAAAAATTTGAAAAGAAGGAAAAAGAGGAAAAGAAATAAATATCTAAAATATCTAAACTATTCACCCCATAACATCATCAACACCGTTTACGCTTATTTCTTGTAATCCGTTCCATAAAATATTACCCTTGGAATCTTCTCTGATTGTGACCTGTGATCGACTTTCCATATCACCTTCACCAAGAAGATCAATTAAATCTTCGTTATATATCTCTATGAAAGAAACTTTTATAGAAAATTTTTGATTTTTGCATTGTAACGAATTCATGCTTGTAAATAAAGTTTCCATCGCTCGAGGAATTATTCCTTTTGAATTTGAAGATATCGAAGAATTATCAGCTGTGCCCATCGTATGAGTTTTACCCGATGAAGTTTGACCATACGCCAAGATTGTTACATTATACCCTATAACAAAATTATCAAAAATTATTATATATAAAGTTATTAAATAAGAATAAGTAACGAAATACCCTTGTAATATTCCGATCAGCTGATTATCACGTGAATAATCACAGGATCGGAAAAATCATTATCGTTGCATAAAACAAAGATTCTTTTTTTTTCACGTAACGCTAACGATAAACATTGAAGATAAATAAAAATAAACATAAATATTTAGTACCTTCTAAAAAATTTTCAGCTAATTTTACAATAGCACTTGTGTAAACTTCTTCTTGTGATGATTCCGGGCCAAATACGTAATCATAACTAAATACTTGTTTCTTTTCACCTTGAACGATTATCGAATTCGGAATGGCGGGGTTTGTTGTAATAACTTGACGTTGAAATCGTGTCGGTAAACAATTTGCATCATCATTTGTGAGCGGCTTTATTCGTAAAGCTAAGAAACATAAAAGAAGTATTAAAGTAACATGTCTGTTAAACTTTTAATATATTTTTAAACACATTATACGAATATTTAATAAAGCTATAACTTTGTGAACACATTCACCACATCAAGTACCAACTTTTATCGGTGCAAATCAAAGACTTTTTTATAAAGATAAAAATTATGTACTTGATGCAAAATAATTGGTTTGGTTTGGTTTTTTTTAGATCAAGATAGATCTTTTTATCGTCTCAAACACTAATCATCAAAGGAGAGAATTTCTTTCAAATCTACTCTAGTTGTGCCAAAAAAAAAGCTCTGATGAAACTCTAAGTGACTTATTTCTGATCAGAGCACGCACAACATCATCCATCTGAATATTACTATTCTTGATTTAATCATTACTATGGCATAAATACCTACCAACTTGTACTGAAGTGCGTTCAGATCCTTTACCGTTATTAGTCATCGAAGATGTTTTTAAGTTACTAATTAAATAATTCTTTTTTTTTTTACGTTAACGGAGTGTTTATAATACTGGTTTAGATATATAGGGATTTTTTTTAAATTTTCGTTTTTTTACTGGCAACAAACGTTTTTTTTGTTTTGAGATTTAATGGCCCATCGAACTTTTACTTTGAAGTATTAGGGTGCCAGCCCACTTGTCTTTTGTAGGTGTATAACCAGTAGTTTGCCTGTGCTGATATATATATATATATATATATATATATAGAGTAATACGATATACTGCACCTTTGTTTTAAAAAAGGATTTCTATAAAAAAAAATAAAAAAAAAATGCTATTTTACAAGTTTGAGATTGTTAACCAGTTTGGCCGGTGTGTAATCGTATAAAAAACAAAAGGAAAGGAAAGAAGAAGCCGATAAGTGGAGTATAAAATATGAAATTTTAACCCTACGGCTGTCAAAAAAGATTAACGTGACTCCGTTTGTATGTACTGGTAAAAAAAAAATTATCGCTAAAGGGAAATTTTTTTCCTTTTGCTACCTGATTTACTTTACTTTTCCCGTTTAGAGACCGGCCCTTTTGAGTAACTGATCAAATAAATTATTGTGCTGTAATGTTTTGATTAAGTTTATTAGACCATTTGCATGAATAATTACACAGAATGTGTCGAATGCATCTAGAGAAAGGCATCTGCCTTTGACAAATTTGGATTCATTAATATATAATATTGATTTTTATAATATAACATTAAAAATGGATATCAATAACTTCAGTTGTGCTACGTCTAACAAACCAATTTAGCTTATTGTGTCTCCCGTACTATGATGTTACCGTAAACGTCCATAGTGATACGTATTATTGTGCTTGTATGCCAGTTACTATTCTTCCCTGGAGCGAATAATAAGTACTTACGTGCGAATTATACCTACAAATGAGTCGAACAACTTATTCTAACAATGTATAGTACGCAGTAACAGCATTATTACGTTATCTGCTTTTAGGAGCTTTTAATAATATCTTTTTTCAGAATTCATGACTGATCATACGATAGAACATTTTTTTTTAGCGTTAGGTGAATTTGTAATCACATGACAAAACACTAATAAATATAATCCCGGAGAGACGATCTGATGATCTTAAATATGAATAGATTTACTTGTCTGTGTTCATAACATTTATCTATTTGCTATTCGTTCCTGAAAGGAAATTTAAAAAAACTTATTAAATTTATAGTAATTAACTAAAATTAATTTAACACAAGATCTGCGATCAATAACGTAAAATGATAATTGTAGTACTGAAATAAATACCTATCATTAAAGTTATTTTGGAGAAGTAAATTGTTCTCTAAGGGGAAATATTTACGTTTTAGCACCTATCGTTAGAAATGATTATCCAATTAAATTCTAATTTTATTCTTCATTTTAATTTGTTGACGGTTTGATTAGGAAATAATAGGAATGAACCCATGAAAAAAAACCCCAATTGATTCAACTCTTATAATTATGCCGATCACAAATTTTTACGTCAAACCTAAAAAAAATATTAATTCAATGTGTTTTTGTTGCCATACGTAAAAATCTAATATGGCTAAAGTAAATGCATGCCAACTCCAATAAAGAGACTTTGCAGTATTGTTCAGGGCTTTAGAATCCCAAAAATAGTATATAAAAATAGACAATCTTTATTAAGGTACTCTGGAACCAACGATATCAAGTGTTTCGCAATTATTAATTAATTTTGCATGCTTATTATATAATGATACGTAAGAAAACAAACAGCATAAAAAGTACCACCTTTTATCGTCATATATATTAAAAAATGCACCAAATAAATCAGTGGCAGGTATCTAAGAAATCAATTTGTGTTACGTAAGTCCTTACATACTGTATTACCTAAAAAAAGAAATTTCATCACGGCTATTTAAATACTGTATATCAGTACATATAAAAAAAAAAAATTCGGCTTATCAGTTATAGTTTGAATTCGAAAAAACGATTTTCAAACAAATATAAAATGTTTTAAAGAAACTTTAAAACACAAAAATGTAATGACAATTTAACAAACCATTACGATACAGTAAAGATGCAGTTGTTTGAGCATAGTTGCGTGATTTCAATACGAAGAAAATTATAAATAATTTGTTGGTTATTTATGATGAAACATTGCTTTTTTTATATTATCAAATTTGTGAATTTTATGCGTAGTACGTATATAATTTAAAAATAGCAGCTATTTCTCTTTTTCAAACAATTAATTTCTATCTATAGAACCTTGCCAAATTAAAAAATATTCTATAATAAACTTATTCCACAAACTTAACCTTAAAAAAAGCGCTAGCCAAAAATTTTTATAAATATAATTACTTGTTAGTACGTATGCTAAACTTGTTAAATAAAAATCAATACGTCATAATATAATAATAAAAATACGTTTGACTGACAATAATCTTTATTAAATAAAATTATATATATACTTATGTATATATTAGTAAAAAAAAATTAATAATTAGTATATAGAAAATATATATGAGTGCCGCCAAGGGAAAACCTGTCATCGGACTTTCAATTATATTTTGTGTACAGTTAGCCGTCTACGAAGAATATATTATTATGATAGATTTTCCATAGACGGCTAACTGTACACAAAATATAATTGAAAGTCCGATGACAGGTTTTCCCTTTGCGGCACTCATAATTAATTCAAGATGTTTTTTCATTAAAGTTTTTATGGTTTAATTAATTTATTTATTTTAACTATACACTTTTAAATATTTTTACTATTATTAATTAAAAATTATAAAAATACATGTTATTTTATTAATTAATATATATTTTATAACTAAAAAATACTGTATATTGCTTTTATTATTTTAAATTTAAATTTAAAATGATTAGCTTTTTTAAAAAAAAATTTTTAAAAATATACTGTATTTGTTGTTTTTTTTTTAATATTAAAGGTGAGACCTTGCTCATATCTTTATTGAGTAAGTTATATAAGTGATTATATAGAAAACTAGGTAAAGACCCAATTCATATACAAATAAATAAATATAAACTACATACAAGAATAAAAGCTTGGACTAATTATTTATCTGCAATTTAAACCTACTAGAGTAGTCAAAGCTTATCTAGATTTGAATAGTTAAAATATAATTAGTAGGAGTACTATTTTGAATTTATTTAGTAGATCAGATTTTGAATTTTTGAAGAACTAGTTTAGCAGGTAAATGAATATTAGATTCAAAATATAATTAATCAGGTAAGTTGTATAGGCAATTGTAAGTAAAAAGTTGTCTGTATCTAGTAAAAAGATAAGAGAAGAAAAGATTAAAGAGTTAAACAAGAATAAAATTAAAGAGAATTGGTGCTTTTTTTCTATGAAGAGAAATTAATACAGTATATTTTTCAAGTTTGATTATAAGTTGGTTAGAGAAATTAAATAATATTTGAATAATAAGTTGTGAGGCTATTAAGTATAAAAGATCAAAAATAAATAATTGAAAAAAAATTAATTATTTGCAATAAAGATTGATAACCAACACAAAAATACTAATATATAAAAAAGTTAAATAAATTACTATAAAAACAGTTAGATTTTTTTTTTTTGGTATTAAAATAACCTTATTGGCCTGGGAACTTTTTATTAAAGTATAGATGATATTTTATAATGTAATTACAACAATGGTACATCAAGCCACACATGCACTTTTGGTGTTTAATTTAAGTAGTTTGTACAAAACATTAGTGCTATGCTAAAGTAGTGTTTCTAGTTGGTAAAATTTTGCTAATCAACTAGTTGCCAACTAAAGTTGCCAACTAATCAATTATTTATATCACGTGATATTTTCTGATATTAGCTAAACAAATTCAAGAAATTATTACGAATTAGCCCAACTAAGCAAAATAATTTGGAATTATATTAATTAAATGATTAGTTGTTTAGTTGTCGATTAGTTGGAAAATTGGAAAGTAGGCAACTAGTTGGGTTTTCAACTAATGATTTGGAACACTATGCTAAGAGTTTCACACTATCTGCCATACCTGTACCCCAACTACAGAGATACCTATTTAAACCATCTGGTTCTAACTACTATTATCAACCCTCTACTCTGCAGAGTTTTCTCACTAAACTATATAGATTTTGGTATCACCCCACATTGGATTTTGTACTCTACCTTAGGACTTACTAACCCATATAGACCTAGTCTATCCTTGAAATAAACCTAACACAGTAATACATGCCCCACACATGTATTTATATGCTTGTTCCTATAACTTCTTCTTAATTAGTACATATTGATCTGCTGTTCTGTTCTGTATTCATATCTCATAACACCTTTTGGAATGCTGCTATTTTACAGATATTTCTTAAGTACCAACCTTCCTAATTAGGCACCTATTACATACTCCTTGCCCTTATTTTGGTTTATAGCAACCCCAGTACCCTGTATTTAGGCCATTTTCTTACCCAGATTCTTTATTGGTCACTCTCTTACTTCCAGCTAGCAACCTAAAAGGGTCGGTCTGCTTAGGCTTTAAGTGCCTAAAAGACACTCTTCCCTTGGTTCATACTTTCAAAGCATATGTTCTTTTTCTCCAGTGTGACAACTCAGTGGTTTAACTAGTATGTCCTCCACCATTAGGACCTGATTGCTTGGTTCTCCAATCTCGGGCCCCAGTTCGAATTTAGCCCTCCTGTGGTACCATTGTAAATCACTACTATTTCCAAACTCGAGACTTGCCAAATGGGTTTTCAGTTATTCCAGTTCTCTGAATTTATTGCGCCAAAGCTTCCATTACTAGATGGTTTGACCAAGATTACAAATTAATCTAAATCCAACTAATAGAAAGCTATCAACCGTATACAGGCCATTTTTCAAAATCATTGCCAGTGGAATTTAAACTCTAGACCTGCCGCTTGGAGAGGATAACAACTAGTCTACTACACTAAGTCACCACACCTTTTATAAAAACAATTAGATAATAAAATAGATAAGAT